TGGGGGACACTGGAGACATTGGGGGTTTGGGGGACATGGAGGACACTGGGGACATTGGGGACACTGGGGACATTGGGGACATGAGGGACACTGGGGGGACACGGGGAACAGAGGGACATTGGGACCATGGAGACATTGAGGACATTAAGAGGACACTGGGGACTTTGGGGACATGGGGACACTGAGGGGACATTGGGACAACCCAGAGTCCTTGTCCCCAGGATGCCACCATGATGGGGACAGTCATGGTCCCCATCCTCATCCCTCCAACCCCGTGTCCCCAAGGTGCCACCTCGATGGGGATGGGGATGTCCCCAAGGTGCCATCACCATGGGGATGTCCTCAACCCACCATCACGATGGGGACGGGGATGGTCCTCATCCTCCTCCCTCCCATCCCCATGTCCCCAAGGTGCCATCAGGATGGGGATGGGGATGTCCCCAAGGTGCCATCATGTTGGGGATGGCCCCAAGGTGCCATCATGATGGGGATGGTCCTCATCCCTCATCCATCCAGGCCTCATGTCCCCAAGGTGCCATCAGGATGGAGATGTCCTCAACCCACCATCACGATGGGGACGGGGATGGTCCTCATCCCTCCCCTCTCGGGTCCCCGTGTCCCCAGGGCGCCATCGTGGCGGTGACGGGGGACGGGGTGAACGACTCCCCGGCGCTGAAGAAGGCGGACATCGGGGTGGCCATGGGCATCGCCGGCTCCGACGCCGCCAAGAACGCGGCCGACATGATCCTCCTCGATGACAACTTCGCCTCCATCGTCACCGGAGTGGAGCAAGGTGACGGCTGGGGTCACCGAGGGGGGGGTGAGGTGGGGTGGTTGACACGAGGTGACACCACCACTCGTCCCCACCCTTCGCAGGTCGCCTGATCTTTGACAACCTGAAGAAGTCCATCGCCTACACGTTGACCAAGAACATCCCCGAGTTGACCCCGTACCTCATCTACATCACGGCCAGCGTCCCCCTGCCCTTGGGTTGCATCACCATCCTCTTCATCGAGCTCTGCACCGACATCGTGAGTGGGCGGACATCGCGGTCACCACCCCGAACACGTGGGGTCACCACCCCAGACACCTGGGGTCCATCAACCAGTCCATCCACTGGTCGTTAAGGTTCCTCACCCAGGAACCGGGGTTCTTCATACGGCCGTTGAGGTTCTTCACGCACACATTTGGGTGCCTCACGTGGACCTGGAGTCCAACCTGGACATCGGGGTCCCTCCCAGACACTGGGGTCCCCTCCTGGACAACTGGGTCCACCAGGACACCCGGGGTCCATCAACTAGTCCATCCAGTTGAGGTTCCTCACCAAGGAACTGGGGTTCTTCATACGGACGTTGAGGTTCTTCACCCACACATTTGGGTGCCTCACGTGGCTCTGGGGTCCCACCCGGACACCGGGGTCCATCCACTGGTCGGTGAGGTTCCTCACCAAGGAACCGGGGTTCTTCGTATGGCCGTTGAGGTTCTTCACCCACACATTTGGGTGCCTCACGTGGCTCTGGGGTCCCACCCGGACACCGGGGTCCCCTCCTGAACAACTGGGTCCACCAGGACACCCGGGGTCCATCAACCAGTCCATCCAGTTGAGGTTCCTCACCAAGGAACTGGGGTTCTTCATACGGCCGTTGAGGTTCTTCACGCACACGTTTGGGTGCCTCACGTGGACCTGGGGTCCCACCTGGACATCGGGGTCCCACCCAGATACCGGGGTCC